TCATTCGCTGCCTTCAGGGGCGCTCCAGGGCTGGGGGGGACTTTCACCTTCCCAGCGACCTCTTGGAATTTCGACCTTCTTTTATGGGTGCCATAAAGGTTATTTTTTAATCTGCGACCTGGCAGGGCTTCCCCCCTCTCGGCTGTGGGGTCTTTGGTCTGGGGAGAACTTGGGCATCACTGATTTTTGTGCCTCATGTGGTTTGGGAGGTGGAAAGGCTCACAGGATGGCCTTTTCCCAAGGGAAGATGTCTGTGGTACCCAAGAGCTCATCAAAGGAATGTGGTGGTGGTTGGCCCCGTGGATGTGGCAGAGCTGAGGGTGCTGCTGGTAGGGATGTGAGGGGCTGTGGGTCACGGGGAATCCCAGGAGCCCAGAGAAACATCCCAAATCCCCAAGTGCTGCCAGAGCAAGATTTCCAAGTGGAAAAGGACTATGTGTCCAAGGACATCCTGCAATTCCCCAAATGCCCACTGACCGAGCCGTGCCACCCCCTCAAACCCCGTCCCCAAGCACTGAGTCCAGCAGCCCAGCCCTGCACAGGAGCTTCCCCGTGTGTCCCCAGCATCTCCTGAGCTGGCAGAGTCCAGAGAGGGACCCCAACCTCCTGGTGCCCTGCAGCTCTGCCCCTTGCCAGAGATGATGGCCAGATCCAGGAGACTATTACATCCCAAACTTCCAAATGTTCTCTTTGTCCTCTCCAGCAACCTGGCAGTTCTGGGATGCTCCAGAAGGATGCATCCCTCCGGCACCTTCCTCCTCCTCCTTGCAGGAGGCACTGAGCCATAACCTTGAAGTCTTCCAAGCACTGTTTCTTAAAAGAGCTGATCCATAGCTTTTCCTTTTAGCATTTGATTTAACCACACCTTAAAAAAGCCCCAGACCAAAGAAGGAAGAGGCAGGCTGAGATGCTGTGGGGTGCAAGAGAGAAGCAAGCAGGCAGCACCCACCTCTAGCCACACTGAGAGGAGCCCAACCCCTGCTGACCCAGAGCCAAAATGCTTCCTCAGCCCTGTAAGAGCAGCCCAGCTCCTCCATCACAGGAACACAACCTGCTCCAAGCATCTCCCTGGGTTTGTATGTCACCCACAATCAGCCCAAGAGGTTTCACTGTACCAGGCTGGCTCCTTGAAAATCCCCTTGATGGGCTGGCGTGGTGTGTGAAGGGTCACACGTGAGGAGATGGGGGCTGAAACCCCTTTCTTTTCCTTTTTTATACCAGCTATATACCACCAGGGTGGGGGAGGCTTTGCCTGCATCCCTTTGTCCTTCATACCACTGGCTGGTGGAGCTGGGAGCTGGCAGCAGCCACAGGAGGTGGGTCAGGCTGTTCCCCTATGCAGGCAGAGGCAAGAGCAATGGGAGCATCCTGCCTACTCATCCCATCCCATCCCATCCCATCCCATCCCATCCCATCCCATCCCATCCCATCCCATCCCATCTCCAGCCACCTCAGGGACAGCAAGAAGCCAAATGGCACCATGAAGACCCCGGTCCCACATTTCCTTGGGTGAGAAATCCCCAAAGGAGCATCCACTGCCATTAGCACCACCAGGATGCAGCAGGGATGTGTTTGGGGCAGACAAAGCATCCCAACTCCCATCCCCAAACCCCCACTGCTCCCACCACCCCTCTGTTGCTGCTGGCCATGGCTTGGGCACAACACAACCCCTCCTCACCCATCAAAGGCACTCCCTTCAAAGCACCACCTCCTCCTCTCTGTTGCCCCCATTTCCAGCATCTTTGGGTTGAAAAATGGCCGGGGAGGGTTTGGCAGAGGAGCCTCGTGCAGATTATTCAACAATTGTTTCCCATTTTGCGCCCTCGCCTGCCTCATCCTCCAGTAACAATGACGAAGAGCGGCGCGGAGCCAGCGCCCGCGGCAGGGGTGTTGAGATCAGGGACAGCACAAAAATATCTCCTCTCTGGAACAAATATTTACCAACCCTTCTGCCTTTTGTTCTTGTGGTTCTCATATATTTTTTTTTAATTTTTTTTTTTCCAGACATTCACTGGCAAAATGTCACATTAAGCAGCAACCCAGAAACTTCAGGGTAGCTGCTTGGCTGCTCTGGGCTTTGTTTTTCTCGCGCGCTAATTGTTAATGAATTTCCAGCCATTTAAGCCAATGCAAACCTGTGAGAAAATAATCTTTTCAGCCCTGACTTTGGAGCTTTATGGCACTTCACAAAATCCATGTGATGGATAAGGAAAACCAGGCAGAATGGGGTGGTGGCAGTGCCAGAGCCAACCTGGAGTGGAATGTGGCAGCGCCAGAGAGGGAGCTGGGGTTGTCTGAGCTGCCAGCATCACTCCAGGGCTGCAGCAGGGAGGTCCCCATTCCTGGATAAGTTCAGCAGTGGTGAGTGCCATGGTGCCCCCTGGCCAGCTCCTCACCAAGCTCCTTCTCCCTCATCTGCCCCACCACAGGTTTTTCTTGTTTCCCTTCAAAATCATCATGTCCCTCATGTCCACTTTTATGGCGGCCAAACAAGAACATGTGGTTATTTTATGGGTGTTGTGTTTGAAGAGGGGAGGGGCAAACCCCTCCTTTTCTGGAACATAAACTTGGATTTTGGGTTAATAATTAACCGTGGCCATAAAACCCCCGATGTGGGAGCAAGCAGAGCACACCCTGGAAGCGCTGCTGGACTGTCACCTCACACCAGTGCCCTGCTGACCACTGACCACCATCCCCTCCTGTCCGCTCCAGGATGGCTGTGCCACCCTCCACCTACCCCCGTCGCCTCCTGCCCCTCTTCCTGGGGCTTTTCCAGGGCACCCTGCTCCTCTTCTTTGCCCTCTTCGTCACCTATGATGAGCTCTCGGCACAGGCAGAGGATACCAACTTGGTGGCCAACCAGGTCTACAGCACCTTTCCCTTTTTCCAGGACATCCAGGTGATGCTGGTGGTGGGGTTGGGACTCCTCCTGGCCTTCCTGCCCCACTACGGGTTCAGCGCCTTCACCCACAACTTCCTCCTGCTCAACTTCTCCATGCAGTGGGCGCTGGTGCTGCAGGGCCTGCTCCATCACTTCCACCACGGCCAGATCCACCTGGACCTCCACAAACTCCTCATCTCTGAGTTTGCTGCTGTGACAGTGCTCATCTCCGTGGGGGCCATCCTGGGGAGGGCCAGCCCCTGCCAGCTGCTCGTCATGGCCACCTGTGAAATCCCCATCTACCTGGCCAGCGAGTGGGTCATCGTCACCTGTCTGGGCGTTCTGGATGTGGGCGGCACCATCACGATCCACGTCTTCTCCTGCTATTTCGGCCTTGGTGTGTCCAAGGCTCTGTTCAGGGCAACACAGCAGCCACTGCACCCCAAGGAGACCCCAACACCCAGCTCTGACCTCATGTCCCTAGTGGGGACACTCATCCTCTGGGTTTTCTGGCCCAGCTTCGTGGCCGTCCTCTGCCAACCGGGCGATGCCCAGCACCGCGCCATCCTGAACACCCTCCTGGCCATGAGTGCCGGTGCCATAACCACCGTGGTGACCTCCAGCCTGCTGGAGGGGGACGGCAAGCTCAGCCCCGGCCACCTGCAGAACGGCAGCCTGGCCGGTGGGGTGGCCATCGGCGTGGTGGCTGACATGGCCATGCCACCAGTGGCTGCTCTTGCCCTGGGCAGCCTCTCGGCCGTGGCGTGTGTCCTCGGCTTCAGGTTCCTCAGTCCGCTCCTGCGGAGGAAGCTCACGCTCCACGACCAGTGTGGCATCCACAACCTCCACGGTTTGCCCGGCATCCTCGGCGCCACAGCCAGCGTCGTGGCCGTCCTGGTGGCATCCAAGGACACCTCTGGGCCCCAGCCCTCCCAGCTGTCCCCCACTGGGGTCAATGCCAGTGAGGTGGTGGAGGGACAGAGGGGGGTGGCCGGGCAGGCGCTGTGCCAGGCAGCGGGGCTGGCGGTGGCCGTCGGTGCCTCGCTGCTCGCCGGGCTGCTCACCGGTGCTGCTCTCCAGCTGCCCTGCCTGGCCCGGCCGCCCGAGCGGCTCTGCTTCGATGACTCGCAGTATTTTAAGATCCAGGATGAGGCTGAGAGCCCAGAGCCAGACAACAGCTCAGAGGAAGGAGCCCTGGCTCTGAAGGAGCAGGTTTAGGCAGTGGTGTGCACACAGCAGCAGGGAGGGCCAGGGAATGTTACCGGCAGGACCAGCAGGCAGGAGATGCTGCCTGCACTCGCTCCTGCCCCATGCCTGGCTCTGGCTGTCGAGGATCCCGGAATAACTGGGTCAGCACCACAGCACTGGTCACCCCTCCACCCTCCCACCCTGCAGCTGCAACCCCCACCCCATGTCCCAGGGGCTCCCAGCACCTGCTCACTCCCGGCAGCAGCCAGAGAAACGACCTGCTCAAGGTGTCTCCCCTTGGACGGTTAATCGCCCCCGACGAACCCAGACGGCCTCTCTGCAGGGCACTGGCTTCGGCTCCTTCACTCTCAGCGAGCGGCATCACCCTTGGTGCTCACCCCGACCCTCAGCTCCAGATTCCCCTGCCCACAATGGGCAGCACCTGGAGGAGGCTGCCAGCTCAGGCCACAGCTACAGGAAAGGAACTCAGTGCCCACTGCCCAGAGCATGGAACTGCGGCAGCAGGGAAATGGTCCCAAGGAAAGGACTTCACAGGGATCTGATAACCTGAGCTGGACAATTCACCCTCCAGGAGAGTTGGTAAAGGGAAGCATCAACTCTTTTTAGCACTGGTGTGCAGCAATGAGGATGCAGCCCAAGCACGGCGAGGAGCCTCGGAGAGAGCCAGGATGCAGGAGGCACCAGCAGACCACAGCACCCTCATCCCACCCCGGAGCTGGAGCTCGGAAAGCTGCGCCAGCATCCCAGGAAGAGCAGCGGCCCCATCCCATCCCACCACGGGCAGCGAGCCGCTTCCACCCTGCGGAGGACAAAGCCTGCGGTCCATGGCTGGCATGCGGCAAGCTGGGAGCGCGGGGCCGCATCCTGCCCGGAGAGCGAGGGCTGTGATTCACATCCCCCCTGCCATGAATCACCGCTGCCCCTGCGCCCCCACGGAGCCCGCTGCTGCCGAGACAATGCGGGCCATGCTCAAGGGCTCCCGAGGGGGTCGAGGCCACCGAGCCCCCCAGTTCTCGCTGCGGGAGTGGGGGGCTCTCGGCGCGGTTGGGGGTCCCCAACCCTGAGCGGGTGGGAGAGGCTCTGGATCCCTTCCACCCGGTGCAGCCCCAGGCGGAGCCAACACCAAGAGGGAGAGAGGCTGGGGAATTCGCCCTCCAATAATCACAAACAGGCTTGGGGGCCCGGGCGTGTTTGGTTAATTGTTAGAATAAAATATTGCCGAGCTCTGACAAAGAAATCCTGCCCCGCAGCCCGGCGCGGCCGAACAATGGGCCCCGGCGCAGGATGCTGCGGGCTGAGCAGTGGGGCCAGGGGTCTTGCGGGCGGGAGGCAGCTCGGTTCCCCCTTCCCCAGACGAGCTCCAGGAGCCCCCCATCTTCTTGGCAGCTCGGTTTGGATGTGCCCCACGACAGTGTGGAGCGATGGGAGCGGGGACCGGCCCGGGCCCTCTGCACTGCCCCGCTCCCGAGAGCCGCCGGGACCGGCCCCCGCCCGGGGAGCAGCGGGGCCGATCGGCAGCACCCAGCCCCCGCGAGAGGAGCTGCACACACAGGCGTGTACACACCTGTAATCACACACACAGGCATGTAGACATCTGTAATCACACACACACAGGCATGTAGACATCTGTAATCACACACACACACACACACACACACACACACACGTGTGCACAGCCCTGCACACACTCACAACACCACAGGTGTGTGCCCAGACACACAGGTACACACAGGAACACACAGGTACACACACACAGGTACATACATGTGTACACACATGGACACACATGCACAGACACGTCCATGCATACACATCCCAGCACTCACTCACACCCACACGCAGGCACAGCCCCGAGGCTGCGAACTTCTTTCTGTCAGGGACAGCGGAGCAGCCGCTCTCCAGCATCTCCCAGCCGTTCCCAGCGAGGATGAGGATGAGGATGCAGGCTCCCGCTGAGCAGCCCGCGGCACCCAGCAGGGGAGCGAGCGATGAGGGCGCAGGGCGGGAGCACACCCGGAGCTGGGCCTGGGCACACCCCGCCTCCCGGCTGGCATGTCCTGGCACGGGCATCCCGGCACGCCGCGCCACAATCTGGTCGGCAGATGCTCCAAAAACCAGCGAGAAGCCCAAGAAAGGGTAGGGGGTCAGCGCTTTCTGGCTGACCAGAGGGGTTCAGGCGCCCGGTGACCCACGGCCAGGGGTGCTGGGACCCACCTGGGTCATGGCACGGCCCCAGTCCCGGCCGTCCCTCCTCCCTGAGACCCGCTGTTCTGCCTCTGGGTGTGCTGCCCAGAGCTCCCCGCTTCTCCAAACCAGTTGCTCTCCAAAGGATGGAGCAGTCAGATATTTTGCAGAGCCTCCAGCATTTATCACACTGTAAATCTGGGCTTTCAGCAGCTTCACGAAGCTGCGGGGCGATGGGAGAGAAGAAAACGTTGCTCTGCTCCATCAGACACAGCCTGCATATGCCAGGGCTGCCCGGGATTCGGGCCCCCAGCCCCACGGCAGAGGGTACCCCAGAGCCAAGAGGGGCTGCTGGCACCCCAAGATGGTGATGGCTCCGGGACAGCTGAATTTCAGTGGGACAGTGCTGGTGAGGAGGGCTGAAATGTGCCCCTGTGGGAGCACAAGAGCCCCTGTCCCCCAGCATGGCCCCCCAGCGTGAACCCCTGGCCAAGCTCCCCACACACAGTTCCTGGGCACGGTACCTCGGTGCAGACCCACAGCACCTGGGCATTGCACCCCTGCACGGGCCCCAGGCACGGTACCCCATAGCAGTGCCCGCACGCTGGGTTCTGCTGCTGCCTCTGGGCTCAGCCCCGAGCTGCGTTGGGATGCAGCCCCCCAGTCCTGGCAAAGAGCACCAGCCCCCATCCTCGCCCCTACCCCTGTCCCCGCAGCCCCTCCACCAACCCCCATCTCCCAGCGGGGCCCTGCTGTGATTGCAAAACAAGCGGGGAGGGGAGGAAGCCGAGATTGTGCTGCTCGCACAGTGCTCGGATGCATCTGGCAGAGCGACGCCGGCTGCACGGGGCACAAGGCAGGGGTGTGGGCACGGCCAGGAGCCCCCAGCCCCTGCGTCCCCTCACCTCCAACACCCGTGTGCAGCCTTTGCCGCATCCCTGCGGCCCCAGGACGGAGGGTGCACAAGGGCACTCGGGGATCCCGGGGGAGGCAGGGGCTGGCTGGGCGCTGAGCTGCTGCCAAGTGCCTGGCACAGTACGGGAGGACTGGGGGGGCCTTGGCAGCAGCTGGAGCCACATCAGAGCGGCCCCCCCAGAGCAGCCGGGAGCGTGCGGTGCTGCCCTCGAAGGAAATGCGCTCACTCCCATGTGCTGCACACTTGGGTTCGCCTCGCTGCTATTTTTATTTGACTTTTCAGGGCCTGTTTCCTTTTTCCGGCTGTTTTTGCTGTGATTCCACCACCACTTCGACCTCGTTTTTCCCCCTCCCTCCCTGTTGCTTCTTCCTTCACTCTTTCCTTCCTTTCCATGCACTCATTCCCACTGCCACAGCAGGTTCCCGGCTCGGCAGCAGCTGCCTGTGAGGGAAGGGCAGTAAAGGGAGGTGGTTTTTGCTCTGGTTTATCTGGGAAGGTGCTGACGGGTCACTGGAAGGGGGGACTTTGCTCCAGCCTTGATAAAGAAAAAGGCTGTGAGTCACCCTGTCCCCAGCCACTGTCCTGATCCTGTTGGTGCATGAGCTATCAGGTCCTACCGTGGCCCCCAGCCTCACCCATGGGAAATCAAGCGTCAATAAGGCTATTTTGGGATGCCAGTGGTTTGTGGAGGGACGGTGGTTGGGATAAGGGAGGAGGAATAAGAAAAAAAACCTAGGAACTAAACCAGTGCAAAACCTCGTGTGGGAGCAGCAGAAAGGGCAGTGCTCGCTGCCGAGGAGGAGGATGGAGCTGAGAGGAAGGAGCCCAGGCATTATGGGGCCAGCCGGGGAGGAGCATGGCACCGGGAGGCCTCTGGCATTGGCTTGTGCTGGGCTGTGGCTCCCTGGATGGCCCCTGGTGCCAGCTTGCCCCGTGCCAGGCAGACAGCATTTCCAGGGCACCCACAAGAGCAGCATTCCCAGGCTGCAACCCCTGCTCTGACCCCCAATCCAGGGTCCCTGACCCACCCCATCAAACCAACCGGTCCTGCCTGCACCCTGCTGCAGCCCGGGGACTCTGATGTGCCCATGCCAGGGGGGCTCTCTCCCACCCACCCCCGGTTATGAAGCTCTTCCAGATCCTCCCAGCCCAATACCCAGAGGCTGAGGGTGGGCAAGGACCCCTGAGCATCCCTTGCCGTCCCCTCCCCAAATCCCCCCTTCCCAGTCTGAACCCCCAGAAACCCCCAGGGAAAGCCGCCCCCCACCTCCTCCAGGGCATGGGGGGTATCCCACTGACTGACAGCGCTCATCGTCCTCCTGGCCACAGCCCTGCCCGGACCGGGGTCGGTGGCCGAGGCTCGGTGGGAAGGAGGGCCGGCGATGCTGGCGTGGCCATGGGAACACGGCGTGGGCAGTGCCCGGCTCCGCTCAGCACGCACAGCCCGCTGCTGCCATCTCGTGTCCTCCGCAGCCATCCCCGCCCAGGCCTGGGACAGCATCCAGGGAGGTGGGATGGGGAAACTGAGGCAGGGACACACTGCAGGCCCTCCTGGCAGTTGCTCCAGGGGAAATGTCCTTCCAAAAAAGCAGCTCCTGGTTTCCATCGCCCACACACCAGGGATGCAGACAGAGTGAGCAGAGGCAGGATGCCACTGTGCCCTCCACTGCTGTGAGCTTCTGCCTGGGCTTCCACGGGCCCAGCACCACGGCCAGACCCTGCACTGTGCCAGCTCCATCCACAGCACAGGAGTCCCTGGATCACCAGAAAAGCACCCAGAGCACTTCCAGGGAAGGAGAGGTCTTATTTCTGGCTTCTCAGAGGCTGTTTGCCACCCAACAGAGCAGTGGAGGACACAGACAGGGTGCTGGCAGAGCACAGTGACAAGGGAGGATGCCCTTCACTTCTCTCCCCACACCCCAGCATTCCCACCCACAGTGCTGCCTGTCACCGAGGCTGAGCCTTGGCCTCAAGCACCCACACCTGCCTGGGATTTTTGGATATCAGAACTCCCCAGGCTGCCCCAGATGCCCAGTGATTCACCTTTACTCCCCTGTCCACTGTGGGTGCCCGGCTGCTCTGCATACCCCAGCAGTGCCTCAGGGACACCCATCCCCACCCACAGCCCTAACAACCTCAGAGCCTTGCAGATGCACTGTGGCCTCACTTCCAGCAGAGCCCCTGGAACCACGGCCCCACATGTCCTCTTCCTGCCCCCAAACACACCCATTGTCCTCAAGAGAGCAGCAGGTGCTGCAGGACCAGGAGCAACTAAGAATCCACACCTGACCTTCTATTTTTGGTTCTTTCCCTTCTTCCCAGTGTTTCTGCTGTTCCAGGTTACTGCCACAGCCATCCCACAGCAAACCGACCTGCCAGCCCCAGCCACGTGGGTCCGGTCCCTGGGCACCTCTTGGAGCAGGAGGATGAATTCAGCTTGGGCTGAACCCCTCTGCCCTCAAGGCTGAGCTTGTCCCGGGTTCCCAGAGAAGCCCCTGGCAGCCGCTGGAGCAGCACATCCCCCCGGCGTGCGGCGAGGGCGTCCCTACGAGTCCCAGGGCGCTTGGCGAGGTGCGTGCAGGGCATTGAGCTTCTCCCAGCAGGTCGCCAGCCTCTCCACCTTCCTGCCGATCTCCCGCAGCTGCTTCCTCCTGCGGCCTGCTGCCCCTGGCCGGGGCTGTGCCGGGACGGTGCGCGCTGGGCTCTGCGGTCCGTGCGCCGAGGGAGGGAGCAGAAATCCCCCCCGCACATCACAGACATTAGTCAGGGGACAAAAGCCACCACACACAGGCTCTGCATGGCTGAGGAGGCCAAACTGCCTATGGCCATGGCATGTCTCAGGTCCCCAGAGGTGGCTGTCCCTGTCTGAGCTGGGGGTGTGCACCCCACAGCACACCCACGGACACCAGGTCAGATCTCCAGAGCAGCAGCAGCTCCATCCCACACCAGCAGACCCCAGGCAGGGTTGTCCCCAGCCCATGTCCTCAGCAGTGGCAGCAAGGACAGTCCCAGCAATGTATCAGGCTCAGGCAGAGCTGGGAGCTGGCACTCTGCTGCCCTTGGTTTCCCTGCTGGTGCTCCCTGCTGGTATTCTCCTGGATGGGGTTTCCCCAGCAGAGCCATGGAGATGCCAGAGGAACCCAGACCACCCCTTAGGGGAGAAATCCCAATTCTTGCCTATGAGCAAGAGCAGGACAGGGGAAATGCACCCACAGGGCGAGCATCCCACCAGGACAAGGCCCTGTGCTCCCCTCAGCCATGGCATCATGGTACTTGTGTAAAAACCCACTTGGGAGCCAGTGGTAAAACCCCACCAGCTTGGCCCACACTGCCACAACTGAACTTCCCTCCCTTGGTTATTCTGAAGCTCCCAGGGATGGATGCGCAATCAGCATTCCCCAGCTCCCAGAATCAAGCAGGCAGAGCCCAGAGACTCCTCACAGGCAGCCAGGAGAGCACAAAACAAGGTAAGGTCTGCCCACAGCCCTGGGAGCCACTGATGTGGCTGGGAAGTAGAGGGCTTCCTACCTTGCTGATTTTCCTGCAGTTCTCCTGGAACACGAAGTTGGTGTTCCTGGCCACCCTCCAGACCGCCAGCTCCTCAGCGCCCTGCAGGGTGCCAGCCCCCACCTCCGGCAGGGACATGCTGATGTTGTAGATGGACAGCAGGATCTTCTGGTCCTGCAGAGGAGAAGCACAGGGCCCCGGGCAGGGAGGGAGGCTCTGTGGCTCCCTGGGGGCTCAGGCCAAGCGATGCCCCAGCCCTGGGTCCCTCCACGCTCACCTTGTCCCAACGACAGGCAGGCCCAGCCCTCCCACTCCTGTACACCGACCCAGTCAGGTTTCTCTGGAGAAATAAAGCAAGAAGATCCAGCACCTCGCAGGATCCATGCTTCCCACTTGGAGCGAGGATCCCCCATTGAAACACATCCCCTCCCCAACACTGCTGACTCCATATTCCCTCCCCACATCCCACTGCAGGGCTGCATCCAGCCCAGCAGCGTTCCCAGAGCCAGGGCTGGGCCCGCCTGTCTTGGCTCACCAGGTTCTGGATCTCATGGAAGATGACGGCGCGGTACTGCCGGAGGATTTTGGCGATGCTGCACCTCCTGCCTCTGCTCAGCACAGCCACAAGCAGGAGCAGCAGAACAGCACAGGAGAGCACCCGGTGGAAAATCTGCCAGGGAAGGGCTCAGAGTCAGCTGGGGATCAAGGAATGTTCTGGGCTCTGCCTTCAACCCCTAGTCACAAGCTCCATTGGACCAGTACCTGAAGATGCAACATGTGATGGAGGAGCCTCAATTGTCTCCTCTCCCAAAGAACATCCTCCCAGATGAGCCATCTCTCCTTGGAGCAAAGCCCTTGGGAAACTGCTCCAGCTTTCAGCCCAGCAGCGCTGCTCACGGCACACACAGAGCTCTCTCTCATGCCAGCAGGTGGGTTCTTGGCACAGAGCTATGCCAGGGACCCGTGTCAGTCTACAGGGCTCAACCCTGAGCTCTCTGCCCCAACATGGTTCCACTAGATCCCCACTTGAGTCATTTCAAGGCCAGAGAACCTCAAGTGCCATGACCCAAGGGGAGGTGCTGGGCTCCTTGGAGAGGAGCTGGAGGCAGGAGCTGCCTGGTCCCCACCAGCAACATCCACACCTCAGCCCAAATGGACCCAAACACTCTCCAAAGGATACAACCACACCTCTGCTGCACGAATGGAACTAATACAGCATTTTTCCAGTTTCCCTGCAGCTCAGGCTCAGGGACCCTCACCACAAGCCAGACAGAAGCAGCACAAGCATCTGCTCTCACCAGCACATCCCAGCTGCTGCTGAGCCTGCTGGCTCCAAACCTTCCCAACAGCCTGTGCTGGCCCCTGCAGGGCGGGGAACCCCAAGTGCTGACACCTGAGCTGGCAGAGGGGCACAGGGAGGGGGTGGATGGACCCTCCAAGGCAGGGATGAATCCCATGGCTTTGAAGAAAAGCCAGCACAAGCTCAAGTGACCAGGACTGGGGATATTTGAGCAGCAGAGAAAGGATGGGGAGCTCAAAATTTGTGCCAGGAAAGGAGCCCAACAACTCAACACATCTCTGCATTGCTGAGCGATGGCACAGCCCTGGGGCCCCATTCTGGTATTTCTATCATTTTACATTTTCAGGAAAAGTCCCCCCCAAACACAACCCCCTCCCAAACAACCCTTGTGCTGCAGGTGTCAGGTCTGGGCAGGCAGAAAGCAGCTCAGCTCCTTCCAACTATGCAACCCCTGCGCCGCAGCCAAAGCAGGAGTGAGGGGGAAGGGGCCGCAGCTCTCCCTGCAGCCTGTGCCTGCTGCTCCCCACCTCAGGTCAGGGGTCACTGCCTTCCCCAGCACCTCTGCACTTGCTCCTCTGCTCCAAGAAGCCAGAAGGAAGAATTTCCCTCACTGAATTCCAAGCCCAGGCTCCATCTGTCCTCTTTGGTGAGAACCTGGGGGGTTTGTAAAATCCACACCTGCTCTGTGCTCCCTACTCAATCCTGAGCTGGACCTGGCTCCAAGAGGGAGAGGAAACCTTTTCCTACCCTCTTGCAGCTCAATGGGAGTGATGGAGACTTAACGAGGCAAAATTCAGCCAGCACAGTTCTGGGAACACACAGACACAACTGTGACCTCGGAGCACAGGCACATGCAAAGAGAGGAGCAAATCCAGGTATAACCAGCAGAAATCCCACCGGGCTCCTCAGCATCCCTAATCACCACCCACCTCCCAGTAGAGCTGTGCTGAGCTCTATCTGGGAGCTGGGAAGGGCAGGGAAGAGCCTCCTTGTGCTGCTGGCTTTGCTCCCTGCAAACCACTGAGAGATCTTGCCCCAGAGGTGGTTGAGCAGAGAGCCCAGGGTATAATCCCCAGGGACATCAAAGGAGAGCACTGCTTCCATGAGGACACCCTGACCAAAGTCTAAGGGTTACTCTCCAGAAATCTCCTCTGCCAGGAAGGCAAAGCACTGTAATTTTATCATGAAAATGGGAATGACTTCCCTGAAGTGGTTTGTTAAACAATTTGGACCCAGTTTCAGGAGAAAGCACACCATTTCCAGCATTCCAAGACAGCCAAGCCTGGGCTCAGTGCTCAGCCTGGAAGGAATTGCAGAGTAGTCCAGGAAACAGCCAGGGCAGGAGGTCGGCAGGTGCTTCCCCCCACCATGGAAAGCAGGGAAGCAGCAGTGGCAAGAGAAGGATGCAGGGAGACTGAGCAAATCCTGCTCCTGACTTCTACCCCTTCAGGATGGAGAACAAGTTCAGCAGCTGATTTAGGGTTATTCATTCTGCCTTTGCCCCCATCCCACAGCAATAAGCTACAGGCTGGTGGCACATCCCTTCCTAGGGGACAGCTGGCAGTGAAGGAGCAGCCTTCTTCTGTGCAGATGCAGGACAGGCACAGCTAATCTCATCCTCCCTCTAATCCTCCAGCAAATACGGGGAGATAAGGGGAATCACCATTGTTGATAGACCAGCTCC